CAACCTCATGCGTGTGGCGGCCTTTCGGGGTGCTCCCGCCGGCTACTTTCGCCGAAATCATGGGCGGCGGCCCGGCATTGTTGGGGCGAGGGGAGAGTGGAGGTGGTTGGTGGGGAAAAGCTCGGGCTGAAATGTCCTCCCCACCAACCGCTCCCGCTATATGCAGGGCACCGACGGGCTGGGGGGAGGGGGGGCGTATTCGCGGGTTGTGGTCAAGATTTTGCCGCGCCATCAAAAATAATTGCGGGCCGGTCGCATTTTCGGGGTTTGTTCGGGCGGGATTGTTCGCGCCGACCCTCATTTTGGCGGTTATTTTCCGGGTCGGGGCTTTTTGCGGGGTCTGCTAGAGATGCTCTTATACAGACATACGGTTGACTAGGGCATTCGTTATTGGATAGCATACGCTAACACTGGAGCGGAGAACTTTATCCAGACAGCTCATCTCTGCCACTGCATCAAGAGCAAGCAACATCTTCAGCTTGCTTCAGGGTTAACTCAACCTATGTACAGTTCAATTGTCTCCTAGGTTTGGGCATGTAAATTACAAAGCGTAAAGCCATAAACACATAATGGATCTTTTCTTTTGCAATGCTAAGTACAGTTGCCTAAATAAAATGCACAAAACAACATGTTTTTTATTTGATTAATCAATTAGCAAATCTGATATACATAATGGTTCTTGTTTTTTCGCAATGCTACGTACAGTTGAATTGTCTCTTTGGTGAGCAGCTTTTTGTAACCATCAGTACATGTTCTTTCTATTGCGGAGTTGTTTTCTTCCCAACTCAGTTCAAATCGATGTGCTTGTCCCCATATTCCCAAGAGCCAGCTCAACACTCATCGTTGTATTATTGTTGTTCTTGTTCTGCCAACAGCTTCGCTAGCTTTTCTAAAAAGAAAAAGTGTGCCGCTAGGTATTTATGGGTTGCCTCTAGCCAGCAAGATGAATTGATGTTCGGTCTCCGCTGCTTGTCTCAGGCAGCGCCACAACGTCAGTCTCGGCGTCCTGACCTGAATGGATTTGGACGAAAGGGGGAGATAGTTAAGAAAACAAACAAATAGTTTGTGAAAAAGGAACAAATAATCTGTGCGTCCACTGCTCTATTATATTACAAAGACAAAATTGTTGCGCACAAGATATAAAGAGAGGATCATCATAAACCTATGAGAGAATGTTATTTGGAAACTAATGTTTTGTTCCATGGGCCACATGTAAAACAGGTGAAGGTTAATTTTACGTACGTCTGTGTTGGAGCCTTGGAGGAAGCATCTCAGTTACACATTGAGTTGAGTTATGTATAAGATAATTGCCCAGTTGGTGCTAAGAAAATATAAAACATATATAAGGTGTAATTTTCTAAACAGAACCTACTATTTTCAGATGTAATTGTTAAATTAGTGAAATAGTATACTTGGAATATGTGCTTTAATTTCTCTTGTCCAGATAAATCGGTTTGTCAGCTATAAATTAAGGCAGATGATACCAGAATTCTATTAATATGTACTCCCTCCGTCCCATAATATAAGATCGTCAGCTTGCAAAACGATATTATATTATGGGATGGAGGGAGGAGGAAGTATGTATAAATTAGAGAATGAAAACAAGTTTGACATTGGCCTTTCATCTACAAGTATAAAGAATGAGGTCAGACGTGGAATTACCCAATAGCAGCTATTGGACGGTGGCAGTACGGAAAACAGTGCACCTAAAAAAAACACATAAATAGCATGAATCGATCATATAAATAGAAGGTGGTTGTATATTTACTAACCACTTTATTTTTCTGCATGATGGGAAAGGCCATTGAAAGTATTTCCGAACCGCCGTAGAAATCCAACCGGGTTAAGGTGCTTAATGATATGAACTTATACTGATGATTGGTACACATGCAAATTAGCTCAAGTTTGTCCTTTTCTCTGATAATGACACAACTCTAATAATTTCTTATTACCGCAAATACCATACCACAGCCCAAATATATTTTATACATAGTGGCATATTACTGTCATAATAATGTTCACATAAGACATTTTCGAGATGCAGATACAATTAAACTGGATATAATATGTCTTGAATATTAGGTTAGTATATTTTGGATGTATCCTTTTCTATGATACTGATAGAACACTAAAGAATTTTTAGCACCATCGACACCAAATATACCATACCATAAATATTTCTTTATACACACTGGAAATTGCTGTTATAATATTCTTCTGGCAAGTCATTTCGAGATGTAGATAAGATTAAACTGGACATAACATGTCTGGATTCCTAGGTTAAACTTTTTAGGAAGTTTCTTTTTCTTTAATACAGAGACAACCCACTGGCATACACATGCATTCACAGGCCTTAAATCATAGGCTATCACTAGCTAGTCGGATTACATAGCGAATCAATTGCAATGATAGTTAATTGTTTAGTATATGCTACACCATGATATGGAAAATTAGTCACGGATGACCAAGGCTCAAGTACCAATGCGGGAGCCCGCCGGCTAGGAAGTTAATCAAGAATAGTGTCATCGAGAACATTAGTAGTCTAACTGAAAGAGAAAAGCATGAAAGCATGTACATACCGTTGTCAAACGCTATAATTGAATCCCCAGATGGTGCAAACGTGTTGCTACCATGGGGGCGCACAACCTGCACCCAGACATGTCCATGGATTGCACAAGCATGAGACTAATAAATTTCAGGCAATTCAGGAGGTTTGGTCGCCAGACCGATCTCAACCACACCAGATCGAGACAATAATATAAGTTGCAAGTACACAATCTAGAAGAGATAACCCTCGATCCCTGCCACAAATCTCAAATAGGCTATTTCGATTGTTCAATTACATAGTCAAAGAAACAAATCCAATTAGAAAAACACAAACGAGTTCACTCGAGTAGCCAAATCGTCTCCGTCGGATGGAAGGGCAAGAAAACCGATCAAGAATGGCGCCGGATGTGGATTCCGCTGCAGCTTGGCAGATTGGACTTGATGCGCATGGTCGAGCCAAGATCAAACGGTGGACATGGACATGCGTTGTCCTACCATCTGACTGCTCAATGTCCAGCTCCAGCCGGTTGCAATTTATTGGAGAAGTGAAACAAGCGAGGGCATGGAGGCCACATCGAGGCCGTGCAGGAACAATAATCCATAGCCAATTGCATGCACGGGATTAACATGGAGAGGATATTTGTTTAGAAATTGCTTCAGGTTGTTGCTTTTCTTCTTGGGAAAAGAAGAGGCTATCAAGTTATAGGTAGAAAAAAAGATCATGGCTTGATTGATTGAGATGGGAGTTTTTTTTTCATTTTTTGAACAGAGAAAAAAGATCATGGAGTTTAGTTTTTCTTAAAGGTACAAACTGACTGATATGGGATCCCCCCCCCCCCGCCCTCTATTTTGTTGAGTTTTTTCTGGCCAAGGATTTTATGGATCAATCTACACCGTAATAATTTAGACCCACCAGATAAACGGCTCGTAATTTCTAATTAACATGCGAATTTCTTGGAAGTCTATAATTAATAGAAGTATATAGATATAGATAGATATAAATATAGATATATGTAGAAGACTAGAAGTATAGATAGATATAGATATAGATTGATAGACCTAGATAGATATAGAAGTATAGATATGAATATAGATAGATAGATAAATAGATAGATAGATAGATAGATAGATATAGATTAGGGTGTGGATTAGCATAGGACACTTTTATTTTTATTTTTTCTTTTATTTTTTCGCGCACGACCCGGAAGGGATGTGCTATTATTGTTCGGCGTAAGCGGTGGACGTTTAACAGTATTGGCAAGCAGTCGATGGGCGCTATAGTTGTGCGCGGACAGCGAACCTGCAGTTGCGCTAGACTAGTGGTGGTGCAACTGTAGTTACTCGCGAGCGGCGGAGGTGTAGTTGCACGTGGCTTGCCTAGCATTTTGGAATTTGTACACTACACATTTACTTTTGGATCTTGGAACACCAGCCCACATGCTATTTACTTCTATTCTACCGTCCTGGCGCATGCACAACAAACAGACGTGCAGTTGCGTCTAGAAAGACATGCATACAGCTATAATTTCGCGTGGACAATAGATGTACAGTTGTGGCAGGCCACTGGACGTGATTGTAGACGACAAAAGTATAGTTGTGCGCAAATAAGTATCTTCACAACTAGTTGCGCGTGGATACACACGGGCAACTACAGTAACCCGTCAGAACAAAATGAAAATAAGAGCACATAAGAAATGTAAAACGTGCATCTACAAAAAGGATAAAAAGGGAAAAGGAGACATGTGTGTAATCGTGTGCTGGCCATAGAGATGCAGTCGCGTGTAGATAGGCATTTATGCAACTGTAGTTGCGCGTGGGCTATGAGCATGCAGCTAAAATTAAGTGCGCAAAATAAATAGATAAAGTAAAAATGGCATAAAGGGGCATAAAACTCGCACAGAGGAAAACAAAAAAAAACAAAACCCAAAAAAGTGAGCACAAATCGCTGCATAGATTCAGTGGTTCAAAAACTAGTGGAGAAATAACTATTTCTCAATAGAGTAAGATGTAGCAACCTCTCATTATTATTATTCTAAATGAAGCAACATACACCACTCAGGCCAAAATACATATTATGAATCGTTGTCTCTATATGGTTCTAGCAAGGCCATGTTGAGGTGGGCCAGCATACTCATGTCAAGATTTTCGTTGAACAACGCACGAAGCGCTGGCATATCCATAAGCTCATGCCCGCAGTAACCGCTGAGGGTGTTCGCCTGCTCCACACATTGAGGAAGCTCAAAAGATGCCGGTCCATCGTTGTCACCGCCGTCAGGGCCACGGAAGTCCTTCAGCAAGGCGGTGCAGACATTCGTGATGCTTACCGTCACGTCATAGTCCAGCTTGCAGAAAGTGAGGCGGCGCGCCATCGACGTGCCAGTTTTGGCTTTGTGCAACATTTCTTAGACCTTACCATTGGCGGTGACGACACGTGCTTTGAGGATGTCTAAGCCGATGAGTGCCAGGTCACGAAGGTCCTTTGCCTTCTCGCTCCGGCTGTCCGACCGGAGTGTCGAGACACAGAATTTCTCCGTGAGGTGGATTTCTTTCTCGTAGTTGGCTGTAGCGTTCTTGCACGCTTCTTCCACGAAATCGGCTGCCTTCGGCTTGCCACCAACGTCACCGTTAGTATGAGCAACAATTGACGAGGAAAAGAGCAGGATGATGATGGCAGAGAAGAAGATGGTGGTCGTTTGTGCTATTGCCATTGTTGCCAGGCCAGCTAGAAACCTTGAATTTTATTGAAAGTAGGAGTGGTGAGGATAAGTGTGTAGGCAATGCCTAAGGCTGAAATGGATGTGCGGTTTGATGGATGCCTAAGCATGTATTTATAAAGTTCATATAGTGGGGGTTCATGAATGCAGTATCCAGTTTGGTTGTGCACAGACCTGTTGACACTCACTTCGGATATCTTGTTACTAATACTTCTAGTGCATAGCCATAAATTCAACACATCTCGACATGGATATCGAAATGAATATTTTCCTTTCTATGCGCATATGCATTGGCGGTTCAGAAATGTAGTATGCAGCTTGGCCATATATTATTCAAATTATTAGTGCTTAGCTCTGCATGAATACATATCCTGAATTTGGATATCCTTGTATTAATGCCCTCTCTATCCATAAATATGTTGATGCTCATTCTAGATCTCCTCTTATCAATACAAATCAAACTTCCATAGCTTTGTGGATTCAACACCTCTTGATCATGGATATACAAATGATGCACATGCAATCTGATGTCGCATCAATATGTGCTAGGCTGGCCCAATATGCTCATGCGCATATGTGCTTCCTAGTGTGGAATGGAATACGTGGGTTTCTTATTTTGGTTTCTTACATCAGTTTTTGTTTCAGTTTAATTATTTTATTTTATTTTATTTTATCTTTTCTATTCCTTTTTTCTCTTTACTTATTTTTGAATATTTAAATATAATTTAAAAAAATTCCTCCATTTTATTATCTATAAATAAAATAAATGTAATTATGAATATTTTTATTTTCCCTTTTAAGTTGTTCTTTAAATAAAGTAAATATAATTATGAACATTTTCACTTTTGTAAATAAGTATGGATATTTTTATCCATTTACCTTTATATTCTATGTCTATTCTTTTCCTTTTCTTTTTTTCCAATTTTCCCCTAACTTCTTTTTTTGTTTTATTTTTTTATTATTATTGTCAATTTTCTTCCTTTTTTTGCTATTCCTACTAGAACATGAAGGCACGTGTTGCCGCGCCCATCCATTTTCATGAAAGAACTATTGAAAATGAAATTGAACTGAGAATAATGAATAACTAATAATCAATAAGTCGGCGCTGCAGTTGTGCCAACTTAGCAAAAGTTCCGTCTTAACATTGAAACTTACGACCTAAAATCAACAACCACAAAGTTTTCAAAAAGTTATGATGTGCACTTGAGAGTGTGGTGCATCTGGTTTGCCCGACCTCAGTTTATATATTGGACACTTCAAAATAATCTAAAACCAAATTTGCATGTTGATAATCATCTATCTGCCATGATTCATGTTTTTTAATTTAAATTTGAAAATCATACAGAGAAAACAATCTCTATATGAACAGTTATTAATTACCTATGGGCCACGAATTCACATTAGTTCATCAACACTAATTAAATCCGTCAGTTTTAAATCCGTTAGTTCATCAACCCCATCTCTCTTCTCCTTCCTCCCAAACCTTTAATTCTCCTCTTGTTATTAGTTTTCAGATCCAATATGGTTGATGGATCAGATGTGGAGGTATATCCCTGAGTGTTTGAAGAAAGGAAGCCCCCATGGAAACACGAGGTTCCGAGCTGAGGAATTACGTTGGACTAATTGCACCGCAACTCACACTCCAAACCCTATTCAAGTTTATGTCCTGAGCGAGAAACTAATAAGACGCCTTGATACATAACATCTCATCAAGAAAAACTAGGTATTCACGTGTCTATATTTCAGCACTTCTCCTCTCTTTATCAGATTATACGTTTTGGGGAGTGGAGGAGAAGCAGATAGGTGTTCGGCATCGCCTAAAGTGGCTCCCCCACAGTAGGTTTTTGTTAAACTGCATATACATCAAGCACCCACGACCCAGTTTACATAGACTGTTTATTGGAAACTTTACACCTATGTCTTCCCATGCAACCGTATTTGCTAGACAACGGAATTAGTTGACTGTTCCTATGGAGAGAATTTCTATTTTGTATGTTTCTTCGACGAGTAAACGCTATTTCTTGGAGTATCTGTGTGGTACCATGGAATATATAGTGCATAATCTTTCCATGGAGATCAGTAAGATTTTAAATTGTCACACATGCAAAAAGTAAAGCTAGATGTATGGCGTACTTAGTCATCCACGCATATGAAACTTTCCTGCAAATATAATGTCTAGGTTTATTTCTAATAATGTGCATGATCTTTACTTTTTAATTCATGATTTTAGAGATGCTACCTATATTAATATATTGTCAGCTACAATATCAGACTGCCCTCTTAGTGATTTCCATATTTGAAGGCCGGAGCTGTTTGCATTGATAATGATCAAAATATTGTCGGCTAATTTTTTTTACTAAAATTAGTAGATTTCTGTGTTCCATTGTGCATAATAGAATGTTTAGACCATCACAACATATTTACTTAAGGAAACAGTACTCCAGAATAGGAACTGTAAAACAACTATATCTACTTCTGAAAACAATACTCTAGAACATGAACTGTAAAATAATTATATCTACTTCTGAAAACAGCACTATAGAACAGGAACCGTAAAAACTATTACGTGAGCAAACTTAAGCACTACCATACTATTTGTAAATAGATTGCAAATATGATGTACAGTCTTCATCCAGAATTTTCAAGTGATTTTAACTACATCCAATTCCAGGATGGTCAGTTTATTGATAACAGTTTGGCTTTTGTAGGTATGGAATCAATTCTCCTCTCCATAGGTTTCTACCTCTCTGAATTCCTCTTCATGTTGCCCGATAATTACATCATTTTCTTTGGGAATATCATGTTGCCCGATAATTACATGCACTTATGTTTGTTTCTTTGACTCATTCTGTATTGCTATCTTGCTATGCTTAGAAAACTAGAATATACTAATTTGAAATTACCCAATACATCTTTTATATGTCCTCTTGCATAAATGGCTGAATCCAGAATCTATACTGATGACAAAACATAGCAGCTATTAGTGTCATTTCTCCTAAGAAGGCTAAGCGACCAGAACTTTTGGCTTGAGTACCATAGAAGTTGCTTACTGATCTAGCATTTTTGGGTTTTATTGCAGTGTGACAATAATCCTTTGATTTCCTGACTTAACTGAAATCTTTCAGTTTCATACTACATTTTAATAATCATGCATTTGGATGAGGACGACATTATCTCGTACATTAATTCTGCACTCATGTTTGCAGTTGAACACAATAACTGATTTTTTTTGTTCCAAAAAGACTAACTGAAATTGATAAGTACGCAATAATTTCTACCCTTCAGCATGACTAAAATGTTGCGAGTTACTACTTCAGATAAGTAACAACTATCTTATTTTCTATATGTAAAACACATGTGGAGATGTCGCTCTGGCTGAACCATCTATTTCCACATTACCAGCCCCAGGCTTCCGTCACCACATTCTAGGTATCCAGGTACTAACCTATATCAAGACACGAGCTTCTCTGACAGATTGACTCCACTGATTGTAACAAAGCATATGTGTGGCCATGATGCATACCTTATATATCTTGGCATGAGATTCGATTCCCTTATGTGATACAATTAGATGCTACTTTTCCTATAGATGTAGTGGTATCTGCAGCTTACATTGACTGCTCCCCTTCAGCTACCTGATAGCTCACTGGCATGCTCACCAATTGTTCTTTCAAAACGAAAATCTGAATCTACTCTATTTTTTATATGTGTTACTAAGTACTAGCTGCGATTATTTTCTTTCTAGCACTGAAATTTTATTATCATTAGGCTTTTGACACACTAAGGTCTCCGATGATCTTAATCTTTCTTTGTGAAATTTATGCATCCAGGTCACATAGTCTTGGTAATTCTTGCTAGATCTTCTTAGTTTTATCTTAATATAGATATATACTGGAAGTAAGACTGTTTTAGTAAATATCTTTCACATGTTTTATTCTACTGTCTGTTTAAATAGTGTTGGGTGCTCCCATCACCTATTACTTTTTGCATATGAAATATCACAATTGGTTGTTCAATGTTTCCACATAGAAAACGATTTATGTATATACATCCGATCTGCGTATTGCAACAACAGCCAATTCCTAGACTAGATTATATCGATCACACCAAACTCGGTTTGGATTAAATTTTCATCGAGTGGTCAGGAGTAGAGAAGAGACCATGGTCGACAATGGCAATTGAGGAAATGGATATATGTGTCTTTAAGTTTGTAGGAAGTTGTATACGACCGGACCAAGTTGTAATATCTCGTGCAGAAATACCTAGGCTAAGAGTTTCATGTACCTAGATAGTTGCGCTTTATTTCCTGGGACAACATGCCCTTAATGAGCATATCATGCCGTTAATCGTTACTTCTAATTCTGAAAATTAACACATAATACATTGGTGCCCCTATATCTTGCCTTGACACTTCCAAGACATGTTTGTTTCGTAGATACATGAAGATACATCATGGCCTCTTGCTGGAAATAGCAGCAGCAGTAGCGCTCACCTCGGGTAACCAATTACCATCAAAATATTGGGAAATTGTGTATGTAGTTATTTATGGTCGAATTTCCTGATCAGCATACTTCAGGCAGTTAGTGGAGACCTCATCACTATGTAGAATATTTTTCTACATATAGGCTCACTACTATTTTGTTAAAGACGACATCATTGTCGACCAAATATTTCCCTTTCTATCC